CCCCTCACATATACTAATGTGCCACAAACAGGACTTTAATATCACCAACCATTCCCATGTTATTACGGTGTATCCATATAAATGGCCCACCCTGTACATATGCAATCGCTGTTTCGGTTTCCTTTCTTGAACCTTAAACCCCACAGTGACACGCTCTTCCTTTTCCTCTCTCCTCCACGGCTGATCTGACAGCAGCTAAAACTTAAGTGCCGACTTCCAACTCAGAAATGTTTAAGAACTGTCAGGAAAAGGTGCTCGGTAATTTTGTAATCTGTGAGAGCGCACAGAATTACATTTAAAAGGTTTAATGCCTAAAACGTATAAAAGCTCTCTCTAATGACAGCCTTTCTCCTTCTTTCTTTCCGTCCGTGCTGGTTTCATGAAAATTTCACTGCGCTGTAGCATGTACTCGCAGAGCTTAAAAAAGCAGCGTCAGTCAGCGAAGGACCAGATTACATTTCTGAACTCGTAGGCCACCAGAAAACTGCTGGGCAAACCATCTAAATGAATATACAATTTATATTCAGTAGGTAAGCAATAAAATGTCATCTAGTCAGCACGGTGCAACTGAAAAGAGGCCAAAGACAGAATGTGACATGAAAAGGATGGCAGCTTCTTGTGAAATAATACAAGGAGAGCGGTGGCTTTCAGAAAGTCTGCCAGAGAAAATGATCTCTTTATAACGTAAGACACTGTCTGAGAAACTGAGAGAATGGCAGCAGTAAAATGGATTATATGTGTATTAAAATAGCTGCGTTTTATTCATTGAATGATGTCGACTTTATGGAAAACAAGGAAACAGAAAGGGAGGGTTTCTTACGGTCAGCGGTGATTTCGTATGGAGAGTTGAGCCTCCCGTCTCCACACGGCGAGGTGCTGATGTACATGTGGAAATGGATGTTGTCTCTCAACCTGTAGCCGCACTCTTTGTGGTGCACAAATATCGACTCCTCCCAGTCCTCCGGCCTTTTACTTTGGCAGCATGAAAGGGAAAAGACAACAAGAAGGAGGGAGATTGATGAGAAAGGTAGAAGCATTTATCACAGCAAAGGACACAGATCTGCACTTTTCTTTTCTAGTGATGAAGTGAGTTGACATGGACAGAGATGGACACTGGCCCTCTCTCTGACAACAGACGATTCTCCTCTGTCAGACGGAGTCCTGGACATTACTCATGCTGCCCATAATAGTCAGAGCAAACAGGGGAATGAGTTTAACCTGTTGGCAAGTACACATCTTTGAGTCACGACACTGCCATTGTGAAGGCCAAACAAAGGAAATATAATTTCATATAAAACAAATGTACAGAAAACGTACATTTTCAGAGATTTCACTTGTCATGTTTGCATAGTAAGCTAACG